TAATTTCCTCGTTTGTTGGGTATAATTCCCCCTGTAATCCTGAATTTCAGAAAGGCTCAGTGGTGTTTTTGGCTTCAGTTGGAGATTCTTCCTAATGCCTTACCTGTGTTCTGAGTTTTGCTGATCATAAGATAAAGGTTGAATCAGACTCCTTTTATTTGTCTAGATCTCTATTTTCCAATATATTGTATTGGATCTCTATATAATGCAGGATAGTGTAATCCTGTGCATAATTGACTTGAGTGTAGGTTTGTGAAGATACACATTGAGTTGTTATACACAAAAAGGACAAGGTGTAACATTAGGGTGTTGTGTCAGAAGGAATCAATGTTTTGGTGGCTATCATCAGTGATTCAATTTTAGTACATCCCATATTTCTTCTGTTGCCACGGTTTCTTCATCAGTGGGAGGAGCAAAAAATCACTTGCATCACTGTACATCTGCATACTTCTATTTATGGAACAAGTTACATAATGCTTATGGTCACTTCAATGTTAATAGTCTGCATACCTTGTTTTGTTTTTCTCAGACTGAAGTCCTGTTCCCAGTTTAAGAGTGATTTTAATGAAACTTAGTGGTAGTTATTTCTGAGTCTGCATATAAAAGAGCCTGATATTAAAACTACTAATCAATATATTTTAATGCTGTCCCTGTATTTTGCTAAAAGTTTCTAATTTCTGGCCCACTGCTATTTTTTTTAAAGATTGTGGGTAAGGATATGCCAGACTCACATACAGTAAATTACGATTGAATTAAATGAAAATGCAGAGATATTAATAAACCTCCTCCTGGAGTAACATGCAATCTACCAATCAGGGTTTATGGGATTCTGAATGGAAAAGAAATGAGTCCATGGCAATGTTCAAATAGTTACTCCCAAAACTTCTTGGCATGTTCATTTGGAAGTTTGGTCAGGGATAATTGGCTCCAAACCCCTCTTCCCCATTAAATTCATTGGTCTAATCTTTCCTGGATGAACATAGCCATTATTTTTGGATCCTGGCCAATATGTTTGATTGTATTCTAATGCCACTTAAGGTTTATAGAGTTGAGATTTAAGTATGCATTATCATAATTCATTTATGCATTATCAATTTATTCTTGGCTGGTGAACCAATCTTCTTCTAATGGCCCTATAACTTGTCAACTTTTAAAATGCTTTAATGGAAGAAAGAGGTTGAACTTTCTGCATGCCCTCTCCATTGCAGTTCCCCATCTAATGTTAAATAACTTGGCTAAGTCTCTCTGCATTGACTCTTTTCTTTGATAATATTCCGCTGTTCCTCTTCAATGAAAAATATTGCTTTAAGGGGGTATAAGAGGTTTTACACGAGTAAGCATTTGACTAAAGGGTCTCCTGATCCCAACTGATGGAGGAGGGGTTCTTTAAAAACGTTTCTTTGTTTAGCATTGTATGGGCCAGAGCAGACCAGCTCTGGAATCTGAGTTGAAAAGAAGTTAAACAAATACAGGTTGGCTCGGGGTTATCTGGTTTTCCCATGGTTATAATTGAAGCAGAATAGTTGAACAAACTTCCTTTTAGTTTTTATATTCTTATTACATCTTGTGCAAGGCCGCATGTGGCCCATGTACCCACAGGTTCGACAGACCGGTTTTAGACCACATCTTTTATGATTACGGGTAGTCCTCAACTTACAACAGTTCACTTAATGACCGTTTGAAGTGACAGTGTCACTGAAAAAAAGTGACTTATGACAATTTTTCACATTTATGACCATTGCATGTGATTTATATTCAGATGCTTGAAAGCTGACTCACGTTTATGACGGTTGCAGTGTTCTTGGGTCATGTGATACTTTTGCAACCTCCTGGCAAGCAAAGTCAATGGAGAAACCAGATTCACTTAAAAACCAGATTACTAATTTAACAACCGCAGTGATTCACTTAACAAACGTGGCAAGAAAAGTTGTAAAATGGGGCAAAACTCACTTAACAAATTTTTCACTTAGTATATA